TTGTTTTATTTTTCCTACTTTGTTTTTGTGTGATGTTTATGTATGTTGTGCAGTTGTCATGAAATTAGGCTTTCTGTCAATTACAAAAAATGTCTCCTATCACTTTGGAATAAAGTATACGTGTACACACCAAAATCCCAGTACTCGCTATGATAACTTTAATTTAAAGCAGACCGATCACAAATGCATGAAAATATGTATAAGATTGATTTATATGGCTTCTAATGTCATTTTTTAAGCGTCCCATAGCATTATGAGTATATCTGGAGAATAAAGCTTAGCCTATTTTGGAATATTTTGGATTCAGGGGAAAAAACAGACATGTCACAAAACCACCTCTTGTGTGATTTTTTTAGTTTAAATCCCATCGGTCATAAAAAAACATACAAACTTTATCATTTATAGCAATGATATTGGTTCGGCTTGCTGTATGCAGAATCTCAACTTTGTATTCTGTATCTTTGATCATTGAGAAGTGTTTGAACTTTTAAAATGGGTTTTCTCAAAACTTGCAAAATGTGACATGTCTGCTTTTACCCCTGTGCCCTTCATTTGACATTTAAAAAATTTTCGGATTTTTTAAAATTTCAATATTTTTACTAAACATATTTAATACAATTTGTTAAGTAAAAAAATATTTTTTAGTTGGTATAAATAGTATTCATATAAAGTAGTATGAAAATTTTTTACAAATATCTTAACTAATAAAGTGTTATTGGCTAAATATCAGTGTCATTTATTTTTAAACGAGAAATGCAGTCATTTTATAGAGAATGGTATTGTTTGTTATACTTTATCATGTTATTAGGATATTTAATTACACTACATATTTCTTTTAATATAAAAAAAAAATGCTTGAAAAGTTTTGATGTTTGAATTTTAATCTTTTTATTTTTAAGTTTTCATAATTGTTTATATATATATATATTTTTTTTGTCATGTGTTTTTTTTATGTTTCATTTGTATTCATTAAATTTTAAAAATTGTATGCAAAAGATAAAACTTTATTCTGCTTTTTTTTATTTTGTATACATTATTAAATACTTTAATAAAGGATAAATAATATACTTTGTTGTATATTTTTAACTTATTATTAAGTTGTAATTAAATCAATAAACATTTTTTAATTGATTTTATTTTGTTATTGATTGCAACAGTGTAATTATAAAAAGACTTCTAGGTTTGTTGAGACTGGTACTGTTGTGATAAAAAGTATAAACAGTTGCGAAAAAATTTTTCAGAAATTATAATTAAAATATTCAAACAGATGTTTAAATATACTGTTACATTATATTAGTAATAAACTGATCTGTCAACATAATTTTTTATTTTTGCAGCTTTAAATGTTTTCTATTAAATGTTTTTCATTCATATGTTGGTGCATATCTTAAAAAACTGTGTTTCACTCATTTATATTTAATTATATTCCTTTATATTTTTCATGTTTAAAAACAACAGCATTTTGTAGTTTGATTTTCAAAGTTGATAATTATCTGATAGAAAATATCAGAAAAACTTTGTATTTGGTTATAATAATCTGATATAAGGTAACAGATTATTTTAAACATTGATGTCTGAGTTAATGTTATTTAAGTAAAGCCATGATTCAAGTATATACTGTGAGCTTCAAAATAGATATTACAGATATAATGGCTTGCAAAGTTGTAAGGCTTTTGTTAAAAAATTTATGCTGGCAAATATGAAAAAGAATGTACAAGCAAAAAAGTATTTTGGTTTGATTTTATTTCTAAATAATATTTTTGCTTTTTAATTATATCAATTTCAGAAATTTTATTTATTCAAATTAATTAATATATTTTCTTAGACTTGGATTCTATTTATATCATTTCCAGATATTTTCATATAACTTCATAAAAAAGTTACTTAAAGTACATGAAGTGCATACATAAAGTAGCTCAAAATCAAGTAGTATTCAAAATGTGAAACAAATTTGTTTCTAGTATTACATGTTATAATAATAACAAAAAGATGACACCTTTCTTAATGTCATGTTTTGTTTTTTTGAATAAACTAAGATAAAGATGTTAATAGTAATTCTATTGGATTAAAACTAAGATATTATATTGGTTTAAGATTAAAATATTCTATTGGTTCAAGATTAAATTAAGGTTAGCTATATAATTCACAACATATCTAAAACAAGGCTGTTCGACAAGCTATTTATGAAAAATAATTTACAAATTGAATGAAAATAAAACACATATAATAAATTGATAGGACAGTAGGATAGGACAGTATAAACAATTTCTTAAGTCTTACAATGCGAGTCTGTACGTTCCGGGTCTGTGTTTTTTCACATTCCTTAAAGGGAAGAAAACGTTTTCAGTATATGGTTTTTACATATTTTTTGTTCCACTTGACAAGTTCTTTCGAATAGCATACATATTTTTTAAATTTACGATTGTTTTTTTTGTTGTTGTTTTTGTTGTTGATCGTAGGAAGTTTTGGCAGATGTAAAATTTATTTGACAAAAGTGGTTTCTAACGCGCCTCTCCATACAAAAGTCTTAATCTTAATATAGCAGCCCTCACTAATACATACACGCTTAAACGTCATACAAATATGGAGGTATTTAACATACTTATATTATCAAAACAGAGTTCATTAAAATTGAGTGGAAAATACATTCCACGTTTTAAACTTTTTTTGTATAAATAATATAGATAATTTTTTTACAATTAAGAAATCATATAAATATGGCAAAATATAAGTTATAGCTAATTTATTTAAAAAAGGAAACTAGTAAATAATTTAGCCTTGTATTGATTGAATAACATTTTATTTCATTTTAGGCGACAATTAAGTTGTATCTGATAATGCTCAGCAGCCATATTCACATCACTCCGTTAAACTAACTGAGACTTTTATTGTTCATTATAAAAAAAGAACTCTGACCAGTCAATTTTAAAACAGAGAAAATTAAATAGTATTCTAATCCTACCGTTTAGGTTTCCGCAAACTATATAATACATTAATTGTATTATTAACACAGTGAGAACCATAAAATGCAATAATTATAATAATAAGGGAGTGAGAACTTTATAATACAATAATTGTATTAATAAGGCAGTGAGAACTTTATAATACAATAATTGTATTACATGGTTCTTACTGCATTGCAACAATATAGTAAATTGTTTCTGAACCTAATCAGTGTTAATGTTGAAAACAATGATCAAAAACAATCTCATTTAAAATGTTAGAATCAATACAAAATATAGAAAAAAATTATCGAGTTCTAGCTGGAAACTTTCAAAGCACTTATGGCGTAGTAACCTACTTCAATAATAAAAAACAACTCCTTCCCACGATAATACAAGGCTGAGCAGTTCCTTGTAATTGAATTCAAAAGCATTGTAAATAACAATCTGCATAGAAGCAGAATGCAAGACCATAATAAGTCAATACTACAAGCACTCCTTGCAACATAAAATGCCTTATTTAGTGGAAAAAGAATTCCAAGAATTAATTTTTTCTTTGCCGCTTTAAGTTGCAGAAACCATTTCGGAAAGGTGCTCTTAGAGAGCTCATCATAAATTGTTTGGGGAAGATGGTCTTTACAATTCATTTTTGATTTAAAAAACCCGAAATTGAAGTCTAACTAAAGTCTGGTAAACACTATTTCTTGACTTGAAACGGCTTAAAAATCTATGGGAGGACGACACATTGATTACAGAAACGTTATATTTTTGTTTTTGCTTTGATACATTTAAAACTTCTATTTGTCAAGTGTATATAATCATTTTTATATTGCATAAAAAAAAGCAAATTTTGATAAATATTATTTTCATAAACGTTTTGAAAAATATTTTAAACTCTTTATTTTAAAATTTATAATAATAAAAGAATTTTGTTTCAATTAAATTTTTTTAGTAGAACTATTTAAAAAACTTTTCTCCAAAAAAAATAGAATTTATTATTCCAATACAACATTTTCAAACCACAATTTATCATTTTTGGTTAATAAAAAAAAATTATATCAGAACCCCAAAAAAAAAATTTGTTTTTTTCAAACCAAGTTCGTAAGTCTTTTCTCCGAGGAGTTCATAGAGTTGACAATACACCTCGTATTCTATTAATTTAAGCACAATAGGTAGAACTGAAATTGGTTGACTTTTTTTAAGTTCAAAAGAACGGAGTCCGAATATTGTTTAAAACTTATTAATCGGTTGTTAGTGAGATAATATAGTGACTTAAAATTTGTTAAAAAAAAAACTAATTATTTATAGAAAAACTATCAGCTGTTAATGTCAGGTTATAAAAACAAGTTACAAACAAGTTTCTTATTGCAGTTAAGTTTTAATAGGAAATAATATAACAAACAAAATTTCCTGGAAAATAAAATTTATATATTTTGGGTTACATAAATTTAAACATTAAACAATATTTGCATTGTTTCATTTTATTAGCGCATAGTAAAAATAGCAATAATATTTTAAAACGAGAAAAAAAATGACTAAACAAAATCAATAATGTAGTTTTTAACAAATTTCAGAGTCTTAAAAATTTATTTATTGCAAGCCATTATAAAAATTTAATAAATAGTACGGATCTTTATCAAAATAAAAAATACCGGCCATTATCGAAAATAAAAGGTACGGGTCGGAAATAAAATAATTTGTAAGTTGATCAAAACATACATTAGATCCAAAACACAATCGTCTAAAGTTGCAGTTTGTTGAAAACTGGAATTGTTGAAATTAGATCGAGTTTTTATTTTCATAGATTTCAAATTAAAATAAAAATTGGTAAAGATTTAAAAAATTAGTAGTTAGTCTCAGATATTCAGACCATCATCTGCATATTTGTTTGTTTAGTTAAATAGTAATAGAATTTCTTAAATTATAATTAACCCTCCTTACCTTTACCCTCAACCAAAAAAATTATAACAGCTTTAATGAAATTTGTTTAGTATTAGCATAGATAATTGGAAAAAAAAAGTTTAAAAATAATGAACTTTAAAAAAAAAAAGCAAAAAATGAAAAAAATTATATTACCATTACTTAAGATAATTTACAAATACAACATTATTAAATTTGTTTAATGTTGAACCAACATTTGTTCATTAAATCTCGCCCTCCTTTAACACTTGCCACAAATTCAGATAAAAAAGCTCCTTTAATGGTGTTAACTACCTCATATTTATCTTTTATGCTTAAGCTACAGAATGAATACGTTCTAGAACCTGTTGGATCTACGTAACACGGTAAATGTGAATCAAAAGCAAATTGCTTTATAAAAGCGCAGCTGAGTTTTTCTAAAAATTTAAAAAATTTTTAAATAATTATATAAACCAAAAAAACTATGTTTTAATAAAACCTTAAGAACTGATTATGAGATCAAAAATTAAATCATAAATTAGTAACAAAAGTTAAAGTTTTAAATGGAACAGTAAAAAATTAAAATAAAAATTTAAATGTTGTATTAGTATTTAAGTTTTTAAACTTAAGTAATTTATAACTTGAAATAACAAACAAAAGTAAAAATAAATATTTTTTACATTTTGTAAAAAAATTACTTTTCACCCTTTTTATATCATTATTATAAAGTTTAAAAATTATAAAAAGTCTAAAAGTTGTAAGCAAAATAAAATAAATAAGTATACCGTTAACTTTGCTTTTTAATAAAGAAGCAAGTTTTAATTGAAGGCACTTTTTCACTGCAGCTATCCATTTCTGTCCTTCTGATGAAAATTTATTAAAATTTTTTTCGTATTTATTACAGTAACTTAAAGCATAGTTTAATGCATAACCTTGAGTTCCACAAGTATTTATATTTTCCAAACAATCTTTGTACCAGGAGCAATCACTACCAGTTGGTTCATTACAGTTATATCCCGAAACTGGAGAAATTGTTAAGAATATCAGAATGATTTCTAGCCTAAATGTTAAACGTTAATTAATCAATGTTTTACGATAAAGTTTAAGATATCAAGCATCAAAAAGTAGTTAAAAAATATATTTTCTCTCCCATATATATATATATATATATATATATATATATATATATATATATATATACATATATATATATATATATATATATATATATATATATATATATATATATATATATATATATATATATATATATATATATACATATATATATATATATATATATATATATATATATATAAATATATATATATATATATATATATATATATATATATATATATATATATATATATATATATATATATATATATATATATATATATATATATATATATATATATATATATATATATATATATATATATATATATATTATATATATACTGCACTCAAAGTAAATAAAATGATCGAAATTTAGCTTATTAACCCTGTATCGATTTTCAACATTCTTTTATTTTCCTTTTGTGACTATGATCAAGCTTTTTTTTAAATTTAAAAAATGTTTATATCGATTTATTTTATCAAAACGCATTTTGATATTGAAAACATATGAACTAACTCTAAATGTAAACGTCAATTTAAAATGTTTAAACACCTTGTAATTGTTTAAACAACAATTTAATATTAAATGAAACTTTTTACTTGAAATTATAATTCAATAAAGTTAAATGATGTACTGAACATTCCAATCCCTAGAATTTTCATTAGTAACAAAAAAAGTTGCAGTTAGCGGCATAAGAGTTGTGGCATTGTAACTTTTTATAAAAATATTTAAAACGGTGTAAAATAAAACAGCTGCTACAAATCTATTGTTTCAAAAATCATTTTTCTTAGTAATATAATATAATATATATTTCGTTATAAAGAAAATACTTACAAAATTAGACTTTATAAACTGTATATACACGGCTGGGGCAAGAAGAAGACAAATTCAGTCTTATCGACAAGCCCCTTCAAACAAGAATATAAGTAACAAACAAAATAAAAAACCAAAAAAACACAAAAATCCGTTATCACAATATAATATATGCCTAAGGTACATATATAAATACAAATATCTAAATATTTTTCATTAAAGTTTAATATTTTTTTTTAGTTTTTTTTTTTTTATTAGGATTTCAAACTTCAATTGTAAATAAAAATGAGATAAAACATGATAATAAGAAGGTAAAGATTCAAAATAAAATCAAAAATTATTATGTTAAAAATAAATTAAATATCAAGTAAAAAACAAGTGATTAATCCTATTTAAAAGTTTCAGAAGAAGTCAAGTTCATTGTCAATTATCAAAAGTTTACTTTTCATTTTTTTTTTAATTGGTCAAGGGAAGAAATTTTTTTAAACTCGTTATCCAATAGGGTGTTCCATAATTTAGGTCATCTGATTGCTATCGAGAACCTAGTTGCAGAATAATATTTTTTTGGTTGAATATAGTTGTTGTTTGAAAATCTTGTTGGGTATAAATGATTTATTTTTTCGAAAAATGAATTAAATAAAATGGGTGCCATTTTATTATCTACTTTGAACATAAATATAAAAATATGATATAGGTTAAGTTGAAATACGTTAAGTATTTTGAATTTATTTAAAAGTAGTTTAGTGTGCGAAAAACGATTCTCATTTCCAAATTATTCTTAGAGCGTGTTTTTGTTTAATTAGAAGCCCTTTTTTTTTAGATAAATTAGTGCTGCACCAAGCAACGTTAGCGTAATTTAGATAGCAATGAATAAAAGAAAAGTAAATAAGTTTCAAACAAGTTTCGTTCAACAACTGTTTTTCTTTGTATAAAAGGCCTATATTTTTCGAGATTTTGTTTTGGATTATTTGTATGTGCTTCTTCCATGTTACGTTTTCATCTAAAACAACGCCTAGAAACAACAAAGAACTCTCTCTTTTGACATAAGAGTTATTAATAAAAAGCCTTGGAAATTGTAAGGGTATGTTACCTTAATCATGAAGACGATGGAAGAAAGTATATTTTGTTCTTTTAATATTTATAGACAATTTATTTGATATAAACCATTCGCTTAGTTTCACAAGCTCTTCGTTCACTGTTGTAAATAAAAAATTAATATCTTTATTTGAATAAAATACGTTAGTATCGTCGGCAAATAAAATTGAATTTAAGATATTGGATATAGTATAATATTATAAATTATTACCATCTTTTGATAATATTTATTTTAAAATTAATGGTTACACATGAGCAGTAAACGCCTGAGGAAAGAAATGAAATACATTAGAATAAAGGAGAACTATATATCGAAAGAAGCATATTTTGACAGTTGTCAAGACATAAGTAAAGATTAATATAGAAATATTTAAAAATAAATAAAACAGTGCACTTAAAACAGTATTTAACAATAATAATAATAATAATAATAATAATAATAATAATAACAATAATAATAATAATAATAATAACAAAAATTATTTTATAAATACATATATGAACAAAGATATACAGCAAATATATCACCAAACAAAAAACTTATAAAACAAAAAATTAATTACAAAATAAAAAGTATGCTAACAACAATAAACGGCCTTAAAATGGAAACAAAAAACTTTACTGATTAGATTAAAATATCATATGCTACCTAATATTTTTGAAGATCTTTTCTTTATTATAGATTATAAATATCAAACAAAGCATTCATTGCTTAATTATCAGGTATCAAAAACTTTTTTAAAAAAAATCTGAACTCTCAATAACTTACCGAGAGCCACATTTGTGGAACTCATTTCTGCCAAAAATAGTAAAACTACAACTTCAATCCAAACTTTTAAAAGTATCTTAAAAAAAAAAAGTTACTTGATTATGACGTATCTCAAATACTATTTTATTTTTATCTATTTTATCTATTTTGTTCTCCCTTATTTTTTATTTCTTTAACTTTTCTTTTTGTTAAAAAACGGCATCATACATTATATCATTACTTATTTTTTTCATTTGTATTGTATTTTATATATATGTATTTGTGTGTATGTGTGTATATATATATATATATATATATATATATATATATATATATATATATATATATATATATATATATATATATATATATATATATATATATATATATATATATATATATATATATATATATTCTTATATGATGGATAATATTTTATTTGTTTGATATGTAAATGATATAACGGGGCTGGATGGTAAGACTTTTGTCTTCTGCCTGCTCCTGTTATATCTTAACTTAAAATGAATATATTGTAAATAATTTATTATAACGATGACAAAAATGTAAATAAATAAAAAAAAGTAATAATAATAATGCTAATGTGTAAACATAATTTGTGTAGTGATAAACACCTCCTCGGAGTTGCGTTCATTATTACTGGCGTTTCGATAAGGATCAGCATTTATAACTAGTTTATCCCTTCAGACAACCGTCATCGCCACTTATGCGTTACCCCGCAACCTACACCTTATCTATACTGCAGTAAATAAAGACTCACTACAAATAGCCAAAACCCAACAATATCCAAATTTGTAAAAGAATAATATATTTAATAGATGATATGATAAAAAAATGTGTAGATCTACTGTACATTTTAAATAAAAATAAATAAATTAAATCACTTACCATACCATCGGTAGAAAAAAACTAAGCATAATAAATTAAAATTCTAATAAAAACACTATAAAGCATAATAAATTAAAATTCTAATAAAAACACTATAAAGCATAATAAATTAAAATTATTATAAAAACACTATAAAGCATAATAAGTTAAAATTCTAATAATAAACTCTATAAAAACCTTTTTTTAATAAAAACACCATAAAGTCTTCAAAAAAATCTAACGCTGTCATAGATACTTCATTCAAATTTTGTTTACCAATCTAAAATGCACGAAAATGAATAACCGGCGCAACTTAAAATCATCACTAAAAATCAAGTAGTATATGATGATGGAAAACAACAACAACAACAACGACAACAACAATATATTTTGTATAAAAGATGTTACAAAAACACAGGTCATTGCAAATAGTGTTTTACTAATAAAGCGCAATGACCTAAATAAGATAAAAATAATAATAACAATAATAATAATATGTAATAAGTAAAATCACAAAAAAAAGTAGGTTATAAAAGAAAGTTAAGTTAAATAAGTTAACATAATATTAACTAATAAAAGTAAAATTGCTTAAAAACTTATTTGATTATACCATAAAAAAATCAGACTTTTTGAATATATATAACATAATTGATATAATGTACATTTGTATTTACACTTAGGGGCTGTTCAAATAATACGTGACATTTTTTTAGGCATTTTTAGAGACCCCCTCTCCCCTATGTGACACTTTGCGGCATTTTTAATAACTCCCCCACCCCCAACCCTGTGTGACGTGACAAAGATAAAAGTTTTGAATTTTCACAAGTGTCTATTTAATTGTAACAGTTCATATTAAAAAAAAATACAATTGACATGTTTCTGTTTAAGAAACATGTCCTAAATTTGTTTCCAAATTGGACTTTGACCTTCAAGTATTGGAGTTCCATGCTCTTCAATAATTATTGAAGGCCAGTTGAGATCAGAGGTATCAACATCGTCCTGATCATGCCATTCAATTGTTTTTTTGTCTGAATTTAAAAAAACACACATGAGTTCAGATAGACGTTGAGCAACTAGGCGATGAGGTTTAACTTTTTGAATCTCATTCGATAATCCGATAGTTGAGCAAACTGTTTTGTGCTGTTTCATTGATTTGGTAGTGGCAAAATATAGGCTACAATTGGTACAAATTCTTTTTGGTAAGGACTATGAATGCTCGGACATGAATAGTCGTATGGCAATCCTTTGGGAAACTTTTTTGTAATTGTCTTGGGAAAAATTGTTTTGCTTAGTGATAAGTTTAAAAAGACGCTTGCAAAGTTATTCTTTGTATTATTGCACTCAAGGCCATTTTCTCCTTGGAACAAAGAAATTGGTGGAGGCAGAAAACCAGTTGGAATAAGATGGATCAGTGAGCTGCGACAATGACCACAGCAGTTTTGATCATTACATTTTACAATTTGAAGCAAGTATTGACTTTCTTTGACATGTTTAGCATCCCATTCTGCTCCAAACTGCCTTAATTGTACACGATTTTCACTGTTTGGTTCTCTGTACTCTGCAATAGTTTCAAATCCATCAATGACTGTGCTGGACCAAATTTGTGCAAGAACTTCGCCAGCTTTGGCAAAATTTGCCTTTTCCATAAGTTTGTCTGTAGTTTCTCCTCTTGAATTTAGATGGCTTCCAAAACGATTAAATGGAAGTATAATTCCTGCAAGATCATGGCTTAGCGGAGCCATTCTTCTCTCTACCCTGTTAAAGGCACTTCTGCCAGGAGCATTGGTTGCCACAAACATTGCATCAAGGTCATGCTCTTTGAAATAAGTCTTGGCACAATGAATTGTTTTTTCATATCTTGGATTTTCGTCTGGCCCACCATCAACAGTTTTTATCATGACTGGTTTGCTAACTTCATCTTCAGTAAATAAGCTGCTTTT